GCTTCAGGATAAGAACAGAAATCGGGCTCCGGCGGTGCGGCAGCAGCAGGAGGCCCCATTAGCTAAAGTGGTGCTTCAGGTTAAGAACAGTTTCAGGTTAAGTACGGACCTCCAGAACGAATTAAGTACTTAACCCAAGGTACCATTGTACTGGTCTTTTCACCCCATCTCAGAGGGGGACATCACTCAGACTTCAGGTTTAAAAGTAATATACCTCTGGGTACCAGCTGCTGGGAGCATCAGTGGGAAAGCGGGCTGCTGTTTCCATGCTTTGCTTGTGATCATCCCACAACCACCTGGTTGGCCACTTTGGAGGACAGAATCTTGGTGAGATGGGCCATTAGTCTGATCTAGAAGAGTTTTTTTTCACCTCATATACACAAGTAGGAATTGTAACATCCATAGAGTATTGGTAGAATTTATGAAGGTAAAAAATGACCCCTGGACAGTTAAGTCCAGTCAAAGGTGACTATGGGGGTGTGGCGCTTATTTCTGGCGCAATGGAACACCGTGATGGAAGCCAGAGCGCATGGAAGTGCCGTCCCGACTCAGCAGTACCTATTGATCTACTTGCACTGGTGTGCTTTCGAACTGCTAGGTTGGCAGGAGCTGGGACAGAGCAGCAGTTATAACTCCTGTTGTGCAGATAGTGTCTCCTTCCATTCATTTGACATCACACTTGGGAGCAAGGCTCTACACTTTCCTTAGGACATTTCACCATCAAGACACAGTGACAAACCTGGTATTCTATCTAGTGCAGTTCAGCAGGAAGCTACCATTAATCCTGGCTCCCTGATGAGTGCGCTTGTCTTCACATGTTTTTAAATATATGTTCGTTGCATTCACACATTCTGTTTTTAGCTGTGCTCATGAGACATTTTCGTTAAAAGAGTACTGTACAATGGTACCTTGGTTCTCAAACTTAATCCGTTCCGGAAGTCCGTTCCAAAACCAAAGCGTTCCAAAACCAAGGCACGCTTTCCCATAGAAAGTAATGCAAAATGGATTAATTTGTTCCAGACTTTTAAAATCAACCCCTAAAACAGCAATTTAACATGACTTTTACTATCTAATGAGACCATTGATCCATAACATGAAAGCAATAAACAAAGTACTGCAGTCACACAATCAATCAATCAGTAGCTGAACTGGGTTCCACACAGTCACAAAAACAAAACAAAAAGAGCAGCGTAAACAAAACCGCAAAATAAATAGCAAAAACAGACAGACCTCAGAGTAATACCCAAAATGGTTGTGTGGCACTCAAATCGGAAGTGTAACACTCAAAATGGAGCAAGTTCAGCTTCTGAAAAAAGTTTGCAAACCAGAACACTTACTTCTGGTTTTGCAGTGTTTGGGTTCCAAGTTGTTTAAGTACCAAGGTGTTTGAGAACCAAGGTACCACTGTAATATGTGAATGTTTCCTTAGACTGGAGCTTGAAGCTCCTGCTTTGAAACAGTTGTGCAGTTTCCAGAGGGGAGCAGAGAAGGTGGTCACTCTCCATTTCTCTTCTTTGAGTAAGTGAGATGCATTCTTAACCCCACCACCCAAAATAATCCACTTCATTGATGTGGGGATACCTGATCACATACTGAAAAGACAATGTATATAGGCACAAGATCACACATTGGCTTTGATGCAACTAAATCACAGTTCATAATTGATTTATGGTTCTGTTCATGCTGTGTTTGTAAATAAATGCCATTAGATAGGGGTGTTCCATTTAGACCCCACACTCATGACTTTCATCTTCCTACCTCTTAGATGCATTTATTTTGTTTTCCTGCTTTATTGGAGAAAGAATACTAGATGTATGGTTTCTCACAAAAGAACATAACTCGTGACCCGCTGACCAGAACTTTTTTGAAAGGATATGTTCCTGTTGATCCACAAAATGTAGCAACTATTGACTTTTACAAGGGAATGTGCACAACGCCTGTGTGGTGAACATCAAAAAAATATGGAACAAGCTCTTACATTGGTCTTGTCAGCATTCACTTATGTGTTGCTCTGTAATTCGCAACACCCACTGGATATATGAAGAATTTTCAGTGCCCAAATCCATGCAACTTAATGGGCCTCCTTTTGGTGGAAGAGGATGCCCTGCCCATTACACCATGCTGTGCTCCTCATTTTGATGGTTGATTGCGCAGAGGCGCCACTTGTGTCATTCCTCTCACTCAAAAAAAGAAAAGAGCTTTTATGTGTCAGCACTGAGCACCCAACTCATATGCATGGGGAAGGGTGGGGAGGCACACAGCTCTGAAAAAACACAGAAGCCCAGTGAGTTGTGCAAACTGGTGAGTTCCCTTGTGATTATTTACAGCAGGGGTGGTGTCAGGAATGAGCCAGCTCCAAGTGAAGGTTTGCAGCCAACAGCAGAAAGCAGCCAGGAACAGAGAGGCTTAGATGTTAGTCAGGCAGGGGAGAGACGGCAGCTGCAGACTTTGGATCTTCCTGACCTTAATGGGCCGGCTGATAAGGCAGTAGCTGAGAGCGGGCTGGAACACAGCCAAAGCTCTCAGGGAGCTCAAACAGGAGCGAACAGACACAGAGAGAGTCTCTCGGAAAAGGAGGAGGATGGAGATGATCCAATAAGTCCGAGGAGTCAGCGAATGGGAGGGCTGCTAGACAGGAAGCAAAACAAGAGACATAAGGTGCGAAAGTTTAATATATTCTATAGACACCGGAAGGAGTCTTCAGAAGGGTCATCTTGAGTAATGATGCCAGAGGCTTTGTTAGAGCTGTCTGGAGCTATCTGTTTTTGCAATAAATCCTCCTTTTTAATTACATATGCTTACTGTGTTATCAAGCTGGGAACCTGGACTCCTGACAGGTGGGAAACATTCGGCCCATGGACCAATTTGGGACCGTCATGGGGTCTACTTGGGCCCATGAGACCATTCCCCAAATGGCTCCCACCTGTTGATAATCATAAATAATAAATTTATTCTTTATACCCCACCCATCTGTCTGGGTTTCCCCAGCCACTCTGGGGAATATGCCACTCAATCAGCTGACATCACTCACTGAGTGACATTAACCGATGGGTGGGGTTCAATCCTGCTTCACCAGTGTGTTCCCTGGTGGTGAGGACCCCTGCAGGGAGCAGGATTGAACCCTGCTGGGGGCTGCTTCACGAGTGCATTCCTTGGTGAAGCATCTCTGTCCCCTCAGCCCTGTGGGTCAGCCGACAGGTGGGCAGGGCCACCTACCTACCAGCCGCTTGATGTCATTGTGATGTCAGATGATTGACAGGTGAGCAGTTCATCCACTTGTCAAAGTTGGCCCGTGGAGTGTGGGGAGATCTGGCCCACCGGGCCACAAAGGTTCCTTACTCCTGGTTTCCAGTCTTCACATTCTAAACACCCCAAACAGGTACAAATACAACTTTAACCCTTTCTCTACCAATTTAAGGCATCTTGGTTGGCTGTATGGTTGAAAATGGCCTTGTGTTTTGCCCCTTTCCTTGGTTTTCATGACAATGTGTAACCGAGAGAGCACCTTTTAATTTTGCAAAGTGCTTTACTATCTTTTTCTTCTTAACCCCCTCTTCCCCTCCCCTGTCTGCATTTGAACTCATAACTCTCATTCATCTCTTTGTGCATGGAACTGTTGCCCACACTGCAGAACTGCATAAGAAGCCATGTTTTAGTTCCTTTTCTGAAAACCAACTTGGTTCCAGACAAATTTAACGTACTTGTTTTTCTGCTCTTGTTTTCTTCTCTCTGTCACCTGCACACTTCTCGCATATTATGCAAGGGTAAAGTTGGCCAGGATTAATTAATGGTTCAGGGTTTATTTATTCAGCAAATATATACACCACATAATGATAATGATAGTAATAAAAACTCTAAGCAGTTTATGCAAAATACCATGAGATACTCATTTAAAAATAGCAGGAAAACAGAGTGAAAACAGTAGACATAATAAATGTTTCTTATATATATATCCCTTTTTTAAAAAAACCACGTACATAATAAAACCACATGTATGGATAGGATTTTTATTAAATATAAAAAGCAATGCAATGCCTGCCTAGTATAAATGACTATATTCTGGGGTAGAATGAAGTCTGTGACTGTGATATTAGGTGGGGCTGACACAATCTTTACTCAGAACTGCTGTATTGTAAAATATACTAGGAAACAGAACTGTCTGCGTTAAGCCATGCTTCCATTTGATCAGTGCCAAGAATTAGAAATATATGGTCCATTGTGTTGGTTGTTGGACTACAACTTCCATCAGCCCCAGTCACCACAGCTATTGCTCATGCTGTTCTCTTGCAGGAAGAGATATGGATATGGGGCAATTAAAAATGAGCTCCATGTTGTAGATTAATGTTAGAGAACTCTTGGGTTTGAGAAAGTTAATGGCTACTATCCAAGACAACAAGGCCATTGTCTGCAAAGTTCACCTCTGAGATCAGGAAAATAATAATAATAATAATAATAATAATAATAATAATAATAATTATTATTTACCCATTTAATACGGAAACAAGCAAACAAAAAAATTACAATTTGGGCATAGGCAGCTGCCCACATCTCAAGGACAGCTGAAACAAGTATCAGCTTTTGAGAATGTAATCTGGATTCAGAGATTTTGAAGCTCAAAAAGTCTCATTTAATCCAGAACCAATTTACGGTGCAATGGAGAGTTCAGATCTTGCAAACTGGAAACCTTAATTTATTATGTCGGTGTCAGTTTTTTGGAAACCTGTAATTTTGTAAAATTTGTAAAATTTTGTAAAATTTGAACCTTCAAACCGATACCTTTTAACATGAATAAGTACTGCAGGACTCTTCAGAACTTTTTAGGCAGAGAAGAACAGAAATAATGTTCAGATTAAATATGTAGACAAAATCTATCCACAAGCAACTGCCCCAAAACATCCTAAATTTATTTGATAATTAACAGGCTTGACACCAAATTAATCTCAAAGGGCAAGTTTACTATGCATAATATGCCGGATTAGAAGTGGAGCCACGTGTTTTGAACCAATATATATGTCACATACAGAAATAGAGATATGTTTTTGTGTCCAAGTTTATATTTAACTGCCTCCCTCTATTTAGGCAAACAGTTGTGTGATACTTATCAGTTAAGGGGAATACATTTCCTTTGCCCTACAGAGGAGTCAGAATAGAGCAGAGTTCTAGATCCTTGATTGTAGCTTACTAACTTCATGGCTTTTTCTGGGGTGGGGTTTGTGCTCCTGGTAGAGTTGACCAGATTGTTGGGAGAGGGCCGTCAATGACAGATAAGGACCGAACCAAAGGCCCAGGTGAAGGGGAGCCTCCTGAAGATCCAAGTATGATGGGCAGACTTGGAAAGGTGGAAAAACAGGTATGTTGAAAATTTGTAAATAATAATTTAAAAATTCATTAATGTGAATTTGTGGGGAAAGGTGGGGTGGAGGAAAGCAAGCAAGCAAGCCTTATTGTGTCACCTCTCCCTCTTAAGAAGCTGAGTAGACTGGCCTCTGATGAAGGCAGCTCTGGGAAGGGAGGAGCTAAATGGCAATTGATCTAATAGAGAGGGAGCCTCTCTGTCTTATTTCTCCATCTGATTTTCACCTCCCTCTTCCTTCCTATATGTCATGATGAATGCCCATCAAAGGAAGAAAAAGGTTAAAAAACTTATTACCCAAGGGTGAATCTAGGCAAATGCTGTTACCATGTACTTAGCTCTTGTATGAGCCAAGGTGCAGATGGAAGGCTTAAGCCAAAGAGGCATGATAAGGAAGCATATACATTGAGTGTGGGAAACCGTTAGCTGTCAAGATGTTGCTGATCTACAACTCCCACAACTGTCTCATCAAGCATGGTCAGTGGCTAAGGATGACTAGAGTTTCAGCCCAGCAACATCTGGATGGTCAAATGTTCCCCCACCTGGTATACATATTTGTGGTACTGGCATTGGTTTGGTTGCAGAATTTCATGTCTCCTTGGGGTGCAGTTGGCTATACATTTGTAAGAGAATTTGGTGTGTTTTTTTCATGGATCAGGGGATGACTTGTCTGCAAAATAACATTTTAAAGATTAAGTTTGGGGTGAATCCAAAGTTGCTTGGGTCTAAAATGTTGTGGGTGCCCATGCATTGGGTCCTGTGTGGCATTTTCCAGGTCCAGTCCATGGAGAAGAAGCTGGACTTCCTGGTCAACATCTACATGCAACGGATGGGGATCCCACCAAACGAAACAGAAGCCTACTTTGGGCCGAAGGAACCTGACCCAGCACCGCCCTACCACAGCCCAGAAGACAGCAGGGAGCACATTGACAAAAACGGTTGCATCATCAAGATCATTCGCTCCACGAGTTCGATGGGACAGAAGAATTTCTCTGCACCTCCTGCCACAACGGTGCCAAACAACTCATGCCCCCCTTCCACTTCTTGGCAGACATATCAACGGCAAAGCCACGGGACCTCCCCGGTTGGCGATGCTGGTTCTTTGGTGAGAATCCCACCTCCACCTTCTCACGAGCGCTCCTTCTCTGCCTACGGTGGTGGGAACAGGGCCAGCGCTGAGTACGCAAAGAACGAAGACATTACAGCTAAGCACCCAGAGAGTGCTCTGAGGGACAGCGACACCTCTATTTCTATCCCATCAGTGGACCACGAGGAACTGGAGCGTTCCTTCAGTGGGTTCAGCATCTCACAGTCCAAAGAAAATTTGGACGTCCCTTAACAACGGTTGCTACACCGCTGTGGCCAAAATCAGACCTTACATAGCAGAAGGGGAGTCAGATACGGATTCTGACCTCTGCACACCCTGTGGGCCTCCGCCGAGGTCAGCAACCGGCGAGGGACCTTTCAGTGACATGGGCTGGTCAGCTCCTAGGCAGTGAAGGAAAAGAAAGCCACCTGAACACAACTTCAAGAGCATGGGGCAATGATGCTGTCCACATACCGGACATCTTCAGGAGACTGGGAGCTAATGTTCTGCAACCCAGAAATTGTGGGTGTTTTGCCACAGCTTGGTCCGGGGGTGGTGGGAGCAGAAGCTACGCCTGCTCTCTCCAAAAAAAGAGAGGGGGCATTGTAGTGAATAATTTTGAAATGTCTGGATTTCTTTCATACCATCTTTCTAAACTAGATAGGTGAAACTGTGATCTTACTCCAGGGTAGGTAGCCGTGACTCTTGGTAATCTTTTAAGCTAAGAGGGCACACGCATCACTAAGACAGTGGTTGAGCAATTGGTGAGACAATTTCTTCTTCTTTTGACTAAGAGTAGGCAATGGCACTGAGCTATCAGGTCACACACAAAAAACATGCTAGTGTTACAAAAGAAACGTGTCACTAATTATGCCTTGGGGGGAGGGAGAAACAGAGCTGTAATGTACATTGGCGAAAGGTGGTTTAATTATGATTGCAGAGAAATTAGCTGGGAAGAGCCGTATATTGAACGATTGGTGTCCAAATGGCAGAAACACAAATTTTCAGTGACAAAATTGTCTTGTGGTATTGGATTGGAGACAGGACCACTGCTTCAGTAGGTGTGCTTGAGCTCAAAGAACAGCAGTCTGTGTGGGATGTGAGACTGCTTTCACATGAGATGCTTTCATCCTTTCCTTTTTAAAACAACAACAACAACAATCACATCTGCAGGATAGCATCAAAACAGTTATTGATCTGCATGCTCAGAGGTTTAGATGTTTTTGCACTCTTTGGAATACTGTTTTCTAATGCAGGAGGGGACACACCTCCTTGGAAGGACAGTCCGTGTGCTGTGGTAGAGAAAGGGTTTTTGAAGCCTAGGTCAGTTTGCAAGAACAGGGCCATAATGATGCGCCCACCAGCTCATGCACATTTCATAGCCACATTTCTAGGGTCTCTTGTTCAAGTTTAGGGTGGCTGCTCATCATGTTAGGTGACATAGTGGCTCTGTTCGTGAGCTCAAAAAAGGAAAGAGGCAAGTCTTCCTCGCAGAAGCAGACTTCAGGACAGCATGAAGATAACGCCTTGCAACCCTCCAACACAGTGCAGATAAGAAGCGTGAAATTTCATAAGAAGGTGTGGCGGCAACTCCGAGATCAGAAGTTCCACAGGAGTTACGAAAGCAAGAAGACTCCAGTTGTGAGAGGGGCTTCACTTTATGGGGGAGATTAAAACTGAGCTAAGGGCTTCTGGGCTCCATAGCTGAAAGAAGTTTGTGACTTCTGCGCTTTGCAATCAGCAGGGAAGCTTTAGCGTTCACCCCACTTCTTGTGACGAAATCTGCTTCTCTCTAGCCTATCCACTCGCAGATGGATGTCTCTCTTTTGTTAACCTTGTCCCAAGTCCAGAGCTGCTTGACTCGATTTTGCCTGACGGACTTCCTTTCAGCTTCCAACCCAGATCCATTTTTGACCGTTGCCACTTGGAATGTCCTACATTCCCCCCACTCCCACCAATTATATTAAAAGTTGGAAATGTTCAAATAGGGAAAGGCTAGGAGGGAGAATAGATGTGAAAAGTTAGTAGGGAGAATTTCCAGGGGCCTTATCAAAATGTTTGGTGTTGTTCAGAGAAGGGCACTGTCTTTCTGCTGACAGCAGATTCACATTGCGGGCTTCTCCCAAGACTTGTCTTCCAGAGTTTTGGCATGGTATGAGCTGTTTCAAAATCCATTTTATGGGAAACAGTGAGGGAATACCCCAGTTCCCATTTTCTTTGCTAGCCTTCACTCTCAAATATACATGATGCAGATGACAGTATGAAATTGCAACACAGATGGGTTTGTCAGCTTCCAACTGTGATATGTGAAGACGGTCAGCATAGACATTTTCAGATCTGGCCGCCCAGCAAATAAAGTCAGTTTAGTAGCCCAGAAGGTTCACAACATAAAAATCCAGGAGAAAGCAGGCCCTTGTTCTGCTTTTTTAATATTTCCTATGATGCGGATTTTCATGAGATCGCCCTAAACAGGAAGTGATGTAGTAAATGTACAAATGAGAACAGCCCAGATAAAGAGTTATGTTAATCTGCTACAACAAAGCCAAGGGACTCTTAGAAGATTTTAAAGATTAATAGATTTATTGTGGCATGTGTTTTGGGAGGCAAAATTACACTCAGTTAGAGAAATCTTAGCCAATTAATCATAGGAGCTTTAATCTGCATAAATGTGCACGCTAATAAATAAAACAGAAGTTCTGAAGAATAAAAACCTCTATCAAATAATGCACGAGTAATCACCATCTCAGAAGAAGCAGTAGTTACTCTTTGGTGAGACAGAAGGAGAAATAACCTGTCAGAGAAAGAATTTGTAATTTTCCTTAAAAGAAGACATTTTTCTACTTATAAAAACCTTCCTTGATGAGGGGGGGGGGGGGCTTTTAAATATTGGTTGATTAGCATCTCCAAGCAGTGTGCATAAACACAAACCATACGCAGGATAAAGCAAGAAAAAATCAGCACAAACCCAAACATTACCCTAATATTTATTCGTTTAAGGCATTGAAATGTAATCACTATTTAAAAATTGCACCAGTATATAACCAAGCTTATATTTTTAGTTCTGAGATAACGCCACTCATAGCCTCTCCCCACTGCTGAAATACCCTAGAAAACTCATTTTATATGAGTGTGTGCTTCTCAGGCTAGCATTCAGCTTTGGCCCACAAAGGCATGCCAAGGAAGACACGTAGGAAACAATGCCTTGTGTATAGCTCCGCGCTCCCAAAATTTTGCCAAGAGAAGGTTGCGAAACATAATAGGTAAAGGTACCCCTGCCCGTACGGGCCAGTCTTGACAGACTCTAGGGTTGTGCGCCCATCTCACTTAAGAGGCCGTGGGCCAGCGCTGTCCGAAGACGCTTCCGGGTCACGTGGCCAGCGTGACATCGCTGCTCTGGCGAGCCAGAGCCGCACACGGAAACGCCGTTTACCTTCCCGCTGGTAAGCGGTCCCTATTTATCTACTTGCACCCGGGGGTGCTTTCGAACTGCTAGGTTGGCAGGCGCTGGGACCGAACGACGGGAGCGCACCCCGCCGCGGGGATTCGAACCGCTGACCTTTCGATCGGCAAGCCCTAGGCGCTGAGGCTTTTACCCACAGCGCCACCCGCGTCCCTTGCGAAACATAATATTCATATGCAAATGCTAGCAAGCAAATCCACCATCTCAGTAGGTTTGGCAGGCGATACTGATATACTGACCATCTGTGATGGCAGCACATCATATTTTTATTGTGGAAGAAAATGCCTAAATATAAAACTCAGTTGGATAAGTTGAGACATCTAATATCTAAATGGTAGTAGTAGTAGTTAGCATGCATGTAGCACTTTGGAATGGTCAAAGTGCTTTGCATAGATTACCGTGGTTAGCCTTACAAGAATCCTGTAAGGTACCTTTGTTTTATCCCTATTTCAGATCCATGTTTTTTTTTATAAAAATGGTTGTCATTCAGCACTGGGAGGTGCCATAAACATGGTTTCTCTTGCACAAGCAACATGGGCTGTTCATGTAGCCCTGTTGTTTTGAATGTGATCCACTTTTAGATGTCATTCCAATGAGCACCCGCATTCCAATGAACATTCACAAATCACACGTTGCCACCTCATTGACTAGAGAGCATAAGGACCTCTGTTGACTCATTTGTGTGTTGTGCATTAGGGCCTCTTTCTCTTGTAGATGCTGACCAATGCCCCTATTTATTTTTAGAAATGAATAGAGAGAAATATTTCACCCTCTCTTATAACCAGAGTCAAGCAATAAAGTTGATAAGCAGTAGATTCAGGAGAGAGACGTAAGAGAGTATTTCTATCCACGGCGCATATTTAATTCATGGAAATGCCACAAGATGGGGCGATGAATTTAAAGCAGATGATGCAAACTTATGGAAGAGAAAATCTCTCTGTTTTGTTGGCCCTGGATAGCTAAATTGAAGCTCCATTTAGCATCTCTGACTACCAAGTTTTTTTGGGTGGGGAGAGGACAGAACAGAACAGAACAGAACAGAGAGAGGGGCTATTGTCTTCATGCTTGGCTTGTGGGCTTTCCAGAACCACTCAGGTGCTCAGTGTTGGGAACAGTGGACTAGATTGTCTGATGCAGCAGATTTATTTCATTCTTATGTAAAAATTCAGCTACTATATTTTTCGCTCTATAAGACGCACCAGACCATAAGACGCACCTAGTTTTTGGAGGAGGAAAACAAGAAAAAAAAATATTCTGCATCTCAGAAGCCAGAACAGCAAGAGGGATCACTGCGCAGTGAAAGCAGCAATCCCTCTTGCTGTTCTGGCTTCTGGGATAGCTGCACAGCTTGCATTCGCTCCATAAGACGCACACACATTTCCCCTTACTTTTTAGGAGGGAAAAAGTGAGTCTCATAGAGCAAAAAATACGGTAGTTTCCTTGAAATCTAGCTACTGAGCTCTTGCAAAACCTGCCCCAATTGCCAGTAACATTGTTCAGCACCCTAAGTGAAGGCAGACATATCTGATCTGATCGGCAAAGAGTAACAAGGCATTGAGCGGGGGTTAATAAAATAATTTAAATTAGTAAAGGAATTATTCTAACTTTGCTATTCTATATAGTTTGTTGCCTACACTGGCAATCTTTGAGGTACCTCCTGATTTAATGATTCTAGGAACAGAATCAGAGGTTCTCCAGTGTGCTTCGTTACATGTCATAAGCCTGCGATGAAATTATTTCATAGATACCATCAGAGAATGTATACAGTATTAAAACATAACTTGCCAGTTGCGTGTCTAAGCCACATAGCTGGACAGAAAGAGAAATATCTCCCTTTGTTGTTATGAGGAATGCTGCACCTGAATGCTTATATTTACCTATGGAACAATATTTTTAACAGGAAGCAAAAAATGGGACTGTTTAAAGGGGGGGGGGAATGTATAGGAAAATAGATAGGAAAGCAGAATAGTGACTGTTAAGAAGCCTGCTTGTCGATAATGTGTCTCTGTGTACGCACCATTTGCTTCTCATCAAGGCTGTGAATTATTGTATGAGAAAGAATCTGTCTGCATTTCCCCTCTGATGTTCTGCAAGAGAAAAGGAAGGGACAGAAGCCATAAGAGAAATCAGTCGGGGGGCGATGATGAAAGAGGAACAGGGATTGCCTACAAGTGTAGACTCCAGGAAGAGAGGCAGCTTTCTTTCCTGCTCATGGAAATCTCTGGGCACAACTTTGCAAATGTGCTCACAGCTCTGTGTGGGGAGAGGGCCATTGACAATTCCAACAAAAGCCCCCTTGAAATGTTCTTATTAGAAATACCCCGTCTCTCCACACATTCTGGCCGAAGGGTAAGCCCAAATGGAAGAGAGAGAGGCCTTGGATTTTTTTTGCCCTGACTATAAAGAGGTGCAGAGATGATCCCCAACTTGGATAGCTTTAACAGAGGGTATGTGCCATATAACTTCCTGGCGGTTTCTGCCTGAAGCAAACACAGCATTAGCTGCCAAATTATGCATACAGTACCACCATCTGTATGTAAGTCTTAATATACGCCTCAACAGAAACACATGGGCAGAGTTGTCACTGAGGTGGTAACACCTGTGGTTTGCGATGTACCACTTCAGTCTTTAGGTGGAAGCTCATATTCAGAGAGGAGGAGAAACCCATTTATTACTCCACCGATGGAAGTCAAGTCCACAGGTTCTGCAAGCATTGGGACCAGCCTTATACCAAGCCAGACCACTGGTCTACCCAGCTCAGTGCTGCTGACAAAGACTGGCAGCAGCTCTCCAAGATTTCAGGCCAGACACTCTCCCAGCCCTTCCTGCAAATGCCAGGGGTTTGACCCTAGATCTTCTACATGCATGTGGTCTACTACTGATTGACAACCCTTCCCCTCAGCCTAAGCCCATTGCCTGTCACAAACCTGAGTTGCAGGGGGGGGGGGAACCCAAGAGCCATCCAGAAACTTGCAAGGGGAACACAACAAGGAGAACTCGCCTATCCTATTTCCTAGGACAGACTTCCATTCAGCAAAAGCTTTGCAGGGCTGATTTGTTTGGGGAAGAGATGTTTGCTTGCCCTTCCTGTGCTAACATTCGCATATATTTTGAAACCCACCCACGTATCTAGAGAATTTGGAGGCGACTCTCAGCACTTGGCGGTGACATTTGAATATTAGTCCTCCTAAAACCGTTAGGGAAAATTACCCATCTACAGCAAGGCAGCAGCCTATGCAGCTGTTCACATGAGGTGCCAATATGCACTGGTAGGGCAGAGGCATCTACACTGTGATTAAAATGCATTGAACTGGCCGGTTGAGTCTGTTGATTGGATGGGGATGTGTATGTATACATACTGCCGGCAGTTGTTAACACATCCATGGTTGCC